AGCACTGGACGCTCCACACAACATGCTAAGTAACTCCAGGCCTTAGAAAGACCTAACCACATACAAACTGACCCAAGGTAAAATAAAACTGTAAATTAAGTATTCATATCAGCAACAAGAAAAATCTAGAATTCTTCAGCACGCATGCACCAAAATTCCTGAACCTCCTCTATGATGGACACATGGGAAAAGAGGAAAGTGGTATATGACCACAGGGTGACAAGCCATCCTGGTTTGCCTGGATAAACCCATTTTAGCCCCCAAAGTTCCATGTCCTCAGTCCTGGGCAACCTGGGACAGCTGGTCACCCTGAGATGCTGTAAGCGTAACTCTGTCTTGGACACCGGTGTTTGAGTCATTGCAGCTTGTCTTTTAATGGATCCCACCTCAGACCACCACATTCAATCCTCTTCACTTTGTTGCCCTTTGGCTGAGATATGTAGTGACAGCACGCAGGAGGCACCTCCCTGCAGGGTATGACAAGGTCAACCAGTCTGTGATGGCCGTTCAAGGCAAGACAGTCGCGCTCTGCTGTTTACAAAGCACTTCTGTGTGGAGCCCCTCCTTTAGCCTCAGGAAGCCTAAAAGGTGTGCAAGGAGCCACACTGTGGATGACAGTCGGGATTCAGAGAGGGCTTGGACAGCCCCCAAACTAAGACCAGTGTCTCCTTGCCCAGCATGCTGTGCGCATTCATCAGAGACAATCATGATCCGAGAAGAAAACTCCTCCCCCGGCTCCCATGACGTCTGGCACAGGGGGCCCTCTGGGAGGGTGTGACCGTGGAAAGGCAGGTAGATCACCTGTATCAGGGATGCTGTCTCAGGACAGAGGACAGCCCTAAGTGAGCATGAGGTTGGATGAGATGCCCTGTAAGGCTTTTCTGCCTCTGCAGTCCTGCCACCTATGACAACAGAGACAATCCGGCAATTCCAAGGATGCACGTCTCCGGCCCAGGCAGTTTCAAGGATTTACTGGGCCAGAGAAGGGCCCATCAGGAAGTATGGTCAGGCTGAGAAATTCTAGAAGACTCTGCCCTCTGGTCTTGAGAAGGTTCTACCAACCTAGTACTTTAATCTTCTTCACTGTCTTCTCCGTGTTATTGGTCACAGTCACAGTGACAGGGATGGGTTCCCCATGGAAATAGATCTGGAAAAGTGAGCAGACAAGTCAGAAAAGAACAGAGTATGGCGGCATCTTTAATCTTAGGCTTTCTAGACTCATCTCAATCCCTGAGCGCTGACGGAATTCATATACTTTTCAAGAAAGTGTTTCCTCTAGGGAAGGGTCTGGAACACAGTCTGCAACAGAGTTCTGAGCGCCATGCAGGGGAAAGGCAGGGGGGTTTCAATGGAGTCATGAAGGGCAAGGAACCTCCAGCAGCACCAGCTGTGTAACCTGACCCCAGGCGGGCATGCTGGTGCATGTGTGCACACACATAACTGATGGTGACCAGAGGGACCAGAGACAGCCTTGGCCAGCATCCTTTCACCTCTAATAGATGACATTGCCCTGTGTGGCTTCTATGAAAGAAACTCCCAGGCAGTAAAGAATGTGGGGTGCTACACCTAGTAATGCTGCATGAGTGGGCGAGGCCCACGGGGGCAGAGAGAGGACAGAGACAGCTGTGGTGGTTAAGTGAAAGACACTCCTGTTTTCTCCCTATCTATTGGGAAAGTCTATGAGTAAAATGCCAGCCAGCTTGACCCTATTCCAAGGGTCACAGTGACTAGCTCCACAATATGAAAAATGGGGGTTTTTCAGCTGTCCTAGAAACAAGATCACCTGCCATGCACCCCCACAGTTAGGGCCTGGACTGTGCCCAGGGCCACTCCCCACAGGCGCAGCAGCAGTGGGCGGGTTACCTCCTTGGCAAGGGAGACTGTGAGGTTCAGGGGCTTGTCAGACATGAAGAACTGCCAGGCCGCCTCCGCCTGGGGCTGGGGGCCCATTTCGGGCGGAGCGTGCTGTACTTTCCGGATCAGTAACCGCACAGAGCTCCTGCGGACAGAGACGCAATCAAGCCGGGTTAGTACCTGCTGCTGTGGGAAGGCCTCGGGGCTCTCCCCACCTTCACACTGGGACTCTTCAGGAGTGAAGAGACGGGGTGAACCAGAAGAGGGACAGGACGCTGGTCTGAAGCAGAGGATCTGGTTTCTGGCCCCTTTCTAGGATTCCACCAGCCAGGTGGCATGGGGCTAGGCAACACCCTGACAGACTTGGGGCCTCTGTCAGGCTCTGGCTCTGCCTCCTGGGTGAGGCTCATCTGTGACTGTGCCATGTCCCTTATGTGACACGAGATTCTCTATTGCTACCACGCATCACAGAGTGCAGAGATGTCTATGTTGAGCCCAGGAGAAAATGTGAAAGGCACAACCCAGCAGGTGCTGGGAGGACAGGGGACACAGTTGCTGCCTCATGGTTACAGAGTTGCTATTTGGGGTAATGGGAAAGTTTGGGGTATAGAGGGCCATGATGGTTACACGACACAGTCACCTTCTTAATGCCACTGAATGGTACATCTAAGACTAGTCAAAATTATACACTTTATGTTCTGTATATTTTACCACAAAAATAAAATATTTTAAAAGAAGAAAATTAAAGAAAAGGGGAGTCTGAAAGCTTTTAGGGACTTCCATCAATCCTTAGGGTCACAAACGGCCCCGTCATTGAGGTAGACCATTCAATCATAACTACCCTACACTGGGGAGGCACCATCACCCCAGCCACGCTGGCCCTTCGAGAAGAGTCCTGTCACACAGAGACAAAGTGGCCCCACACCCTGGGCCCCTCTCCTACTCCACAGGGACACTCTCTCACCTCCTGGGGATTTTGTCCTCTTCACCTTCAGGGCAGTCTATGGCAAAGGCTTTGACCTCAAAGTCGACCCCACAGCACTGTTGGGGTCAGAGAAAAGATAGGCAGTGGTCAGCACCGCCTTTCCCAGGCATGGGGGACCCTCTGTGTCTGAGCCATATCCTACTCAAGGCCACCCATTAGGCGCAGATTTAGAAGCATATTAATTATAAAGTCATGACACTAGTGTGAGGAGTGCACTATGGGCTTAGAGCCCCCTGTGCAAGGGGAGTCGGATGCCTGATGTGCCAGGAGCCATGAAGGGTGACTGGTATCCTGGCCGGTCGTCACCTCCCACCAACTCACACACTTGGTTGTCCTCAAACATGTCCCCCTGTGTACGGTCCTGGCTTCCTCCCACCTATAGCAGGGCCTAGAGGTACAGGTGCTCCCAGTGCCTGTGCGGGGGCCCGTGAGTGCCCTGCGGGGGTGTGGGCACCCTGACCCCAGCCGGCACTGCAGCTGAGCATGGACAGGCGGCAACAGCACCTGGTGCTGACAGCTCTTAGGATTTTAAAAAGAAGCTGATGTGGAATTTAGGATCAAATCACCTGAGTTTTAAATTAACTAAATAAAGAAACTTTGAAGCATTGCGGGGCCGATACGTGTAAGTATTTGCCAGTGACCCGCGCTCAGCCCCAGTGTGGGACTCCCTGGGCCCCCACACAAGCCCTCCAGAACCTCGCTGGCCTCCACATGTCCACATGCAGCGGGGAGTCCACCTGCACCAACTGCTGGAGGGGAAGTGGAGCTGGCCAAAGTCCCTGAACCCAGCCACGTCCACTGGGGAATCTAAGCCGTAAGATCAGTCAGATCCGCAACTATGGAATCACAGCAATCCTCAAGGATTGAAAGCTCAAGGTTGAAAATAAATACGTGCGGTTACTAGCTGTCAGCCGGGCAACGTTGAGCCACGGCAGCCGCTGTTCCTGCTGAGTCGCACTTATTCACAATTCCCCTGGCATAGCATTCCTCCCTCCTGAGACGCCTCTCTCTCTCTATATCTATCTATTTATTTAGCAAACTCCTATGTATCCTTTGAGCCCCAGCTCTAAGGGCTCCTCGGCCGCAGAGCCCTAAGTCCCTGGCACTTGGACGCTGCCTCCAGGCTCCCTGGACCCCGGTGGACCCCCTTTTCTGCCCTCTCCTCTCCTACAGCAGGAAATAGGTGATGATTTCTTTGGCCTGTACAGTGTTGTCAAAGTCAAGAAAATTCTTCGAAAAATCTGAATTTCAGTCCTCTCAAAAAGCACTGTAAGATGTGCCAAAGCCGACTGAACCCCCCTTGTCTGCAATCTCCCATCTTCCCCGTCTCGGCTGCCCACACCCCATTTTCACAGACCAGCCAGCAGCTTCCAAGTGTTTCAGAAGTGAGTTTTATAATGTGTCCCCTGAACAGACGTGTATGTGTGAAGCACCTCTCACGACACCATGGCTGGCTTTGCTGTGCGTGAGGTGCTCGGAGATTCCCGTTCCGTGCTACTCTATTCTACCCTGTCTATTCCATCTCAGTTTTAAAATACCATTTCTGATCCCCTGCATTGATTTCACAAATTACTAAAGGGTCAGCACCCCTACACTGTAAAGCGCTGCCCTTGCCCTGCCCCCATCTGCATCATCCACTCTCTGCCGTCACATCTTATCCTCCTAGCCCCTCCCTCGTGAATCCTGGATGCAGGCAACTCTCTCGGCCTAAAATCCTCAGATCCCAGCACCTCTTACTCTCCTCCTGTCCTCACTGCCCCGCTTCAGTGCCTAGAGTCCCTGGGCCATCCCTTCACTCTTCCCCATCATGCTTGGCCCCTCCACAGCAGGTGCGTGGCTAGCTCCAGCCCCAGCCCCGTCCTCAACACAGTGGTCACAACTTTTTGTAAACCTAAGTCAGAATCTATCAATTAGAGCCCACCAACGGCTCCTGCTCGCTCAGAGAAGCCCCCACATGTCTGTGATGTCTATAGTTTTCCATGATAAAAAGTTATTTTTAAAAGTCTATCAAAGAAACGAAGAAATCCACGGCATTTCCTCCTGAGCTCACCTTCCCTGTGTCTTGAGGAGCTGGCTGCAACATCACTGAACAGGGCAAGTAGTCGGGAAACTGTGGAAGGAAACAAACAGCCTATCTCAGCGCAATTATTCCACAGGTAACATATGATCATCATACAGAAATTGGAAAATGAAGATTATTGGAAAGAAGAAAAAAACTTATTCCCCTATACTATGGTCCCGCGATGTGTGTGCACGTACATACACACAAGCCTGAATATGTGTATGTACATTTTACAGACGCACCCATGAAGAACCATGTGATGGCCACGTCCCTAGTTTGGCTTACTCACCCTGTTAACCTTACCCTGTTTGGAAGCATTATGACATTTTCCTGCTTCGTGAAACACAGTCCCACACCATCTCTGGTAGGGCTCAACCAACATACACGTCACTGAGCCAGTCACCTGTGTTAGCTGCTTAAACACTCTACAACGATACTACAATGACTATCTTTATACACCTTAGCACAGTTTTAGCCGATTAATTCCATGAGCTACATGGCTAGGAAGAGAAATCACATTTTTTAAGGTTTCTAATATATGTGGACATGATGTCTCCAAAAAGTGATGGCACTTCAAACTCCCAGCACAAGTGTTTGGGAGCCCCCAGGACCATATCAGTCTTTTAAAACACGATTTTGTAAAAAGAAAAAAAAAAAAGCAAATGTAATAAAATAGAATACCATTTGCCATTTAATTTGCTATTTAAACTATTTTAAACATATAGTTCTTTGGCCTCCTATGCTAGACTTCACTTTTCTCTGCAATGATCACCACCATTATCTCCAGACTTTTTCATCCCCCGAAACTGACCCTCTCAGCCCAGTGAGCCCCAAGTCCTCACTCCCGCTGCACACCCCGGGAGCCTGGGGTCTGCTGTCTGTGTGATGCTGACCACTCCAAGGGCCTCCTGTCAGCAGAGTCACACACCATCTGTCCTCCTGTGCATAGCTCCTTTCACATACTGTGAGCAAGGGTCACCGTGTTGTGATACGTGTCAGAATGCCACTCCCCTTTAATGCTGAGCCATATGGCTTTGGAGGGGTATATGATCTCAGTATAGTGGAGGGGTATATGATCTCAGGGTAGTGGAAGCTTCCTTACACTGAGCTCACTCCCAGACTTCAGAGAGCCTGCACACTGGTGTCGCTGGTGGCCAGGTCTCACTGGGCAAGACGTGGGCCTTAACAGAGAGGTGAGGGGCTGTATCTCCAGAGACTCCCCAAACTGTGGGCAAGTTTAAAAAATCGACATCTTTTCACTAAGATCTCCTGTCCTGTAGGACACACTTTCCTGCTTTGAACTCCCTGGGTCCAGCCGAGGGGCACCTCTGCGACCTTTCTTTTTATAGCAGAGCTATGAAGGAGTAACACATGCTCATATAATTAGGTGGTCGGGAGAAGGGACATATCTAAACTGTGGGCTGAAATGGCGCCTTCAAAGGCGAAGAGGCTATTTTCAAGGTCTTAAAAAAAGACAATCACAGACCTTGCAATCTAGAATTTCTTTCAAGGATGCAATTTACAGACCCACAGATGTGAGGTCCTTTCTCTGTCCCCTTCCCTGTGCCCCTGTTCACATTGTAGGGTGCTGTGGGTGAAGGAAGCAGGACCAGGGCCAGGAGTCACCCACCGTGAGCAGAAAGGGGTACGTGTTGCTCCCCAGCTTCTTCAGCAGGCTCTCCTGCAGTTTCGTGGGGGTGCCCGCAGCTCCCACAGGAGGGTACACCTGGACCCGAGAGAAGTACAGGTCCCTGCGGAAGGTCAGGCCGATGACGTCGATGTCCTCCTGACCATAGCGGAAGGCGCAGGTCAGAGAGACGTACACTGAGAAGGGGATGGCGACAGTGTCAGACACGCCCCTCGGCCTGGCGTCCACCCCACCCCACCCATCCTGGAGTGGGCAACAGGACTCCAACCTTCAGCGTCTGGAAGGAATGGGGTTTGAGAGAGCCATGCTATGCGGCTGGTCCACGAGTTTTGAGAGAATCAGCATCTTCGGCAGGGCCGTGTGAGGGTTGGAAAGCAGCTCCCTCTCACTTGCATCATTTTGCAAGGGCAGAAATCTACATACTGAGAACATGAATCCCTGTCCACCTGACCCCCTTGTCCCCGTCTTGCCCTCTGTCTCTTCATCCACCAGCTCAGTGGCCTGGGAGGACAGGCTGTCTGGAGGGAGGGAAGGAGCAGGAAGCAGAGACAGACAGGGCTGGACAGCAACTGGCCCCCGCTGTCACTCACACTGCTTCCATGCTTACTGAGCCTTCTCCACACCACCACTTCTGAAAATTCTGTTCATTCAACAGATTTAACCGTGCCTCCGAAGCACCAAAGAATTGTGTGAAAGCTCACTACACAGGTTTTGAAAAGAACACTAAGCACGCATTTCTCAAATATAAAACCTATCAGAAGTGGCATCTCCAAGGACTCGCTAGCTGCTGGTTGAGGATTGTGCCTATGTCAGCTCCAAGGGTAACTGCCCCTTGCCGCAGGCCACTTGTCCACCCCTCATGTAAGATGCCCAGAGATGGCCTGGCTTCACACTGTCCTCACCAGGACTGGCTTCCCTAAAAGAAGGTGCCGTACTCCGGCCAAGGGGATGGGCTTTTAGGACTAAACCACACTCTCCTGGGGCCAGAGGCAAGCCGGGCACCCAGCAGGAAGGTGGCTTGGGACCCTGTTTGGCCATCCCCCCTCACTGCTGAGAGGGCCACAGCTGATACATTCCAGTGGGCTCATCTAGGGTTCAGAACAATTCCTTGCAGTTGCCACTAGCAACCAATCCAAAAGGCATATTTAGAACGGAACTGAGTCAGTGACATTATCATAAGAAGAGCTTGAATCCATTCTAATTTAGCTTACGTAACTGTGATTAGTAGCAAGTTACTTGTCACTCACATCACAACTGCCCGAGATCTTCAAGGGCACTGTGACACTGGCTGAGAACCATGGAAATAAGCACAGAAGCACATCCTGGGTTTTACTGCCCCTGCTTCCAAGCAGGCTTGATTTCCCCCTTTTAGGATAAAACCACGAAGGAGCCCTGAGTTTGCCCCAGCACAGGAATGCAGGTGGCAGGGGCAAGCACACAGCGACAGACCTGGGCTCTGTCCACCACTCACTGGTCTGCTGCCCTGGACAGAGCCAGCTCGAAGACCCTCCCACCCTTCCAGGGGGACGAGGAGCACCCTCTCACCTTTCTTTCCCTTCACGAGTTCAGGATCAACTAGTACGACACCATCTAAAGCAAAAGAGGGAATGAACAGTGAGGGTGGTGAGATCAAAGAAACCAGATAACCAGATGGCTACTTTAAAAACTACATATAGGGGTGGCGCCTGTGGCTCAATGAGCAGGGTGCCAGCCCCATATACTGAGGGTGGTGGTTCAAACCCGGCCCCGGCCAAACTGCAACAAAAAATAGCCAGGTGTTGTGGCGGGCACCTGTGGTCCCAGCTACTCGAGAGGCTGAGGCAGGAGAATCGCCTAAGCCCAGGAGTTGGAGGTTGC